CCCCAAAACCCCAAAACCCCAGCAATCTAAACATATCGACAATTAAAAAAATCAACTATTAAATATTATTAAGTAAAACATGTCTGAAGCAAATCAAGATGATTAATAAATGCAATTCGATTAAGTCCCTGCCGTAATAAACATATTTTATTATTCTTTTACTATAGTCTAATCTTCAGGAATAGTAAGTTGAAGACCAAATTTAAGAAATTGAAGAAGATGAATAAAACTAATCCTAAAATAGCTGATCTTCTTATTTTTCAGTTTCTGAAAATATGAATACAGTATTTAGACTCTAGATGATAACAAGAGTCTAATAACAATGAACCTAAATAATTCAACTATTTGATAGGTTTCTCTAAAGCATCACTCTAAATAATTAAGATGCTTTTGGCCAAGATATAGAAATTTCAAGATTAAAATCACTTTATTAGAATTTAATGCTATAAGTAAGAGCAGAATTAGAGCTAGATACCAAGGAAAATAAATATATCAAGAATCTTGAAGATTTCTATGTACAAAAGTAGTAGCGAAAGAATTTCGTTAGATAGAAAAATGAGGTCTTAAATGAGATTGAAAGAACTGACTTAGACTTTAAGCTTAGAGATCAGCTAATCAAAACTAAAGATCCTCTATTCGAAATTCAAAAGCCAAATAAAAATATATCTCTTCAACTGAATCCATACAAAGTTAAAAAATAAGAACTACAGCTTTAGGATGTAAACTATATCTTAGCATGCAGTGATGCGATGAATATTTTCACTCTGAGAAATGGCACTGAGCTCTAAAATATAATCAATGGAACTTCTAAACAGTTCGAGGAAAATTTCAAAGTTACTTATATTTTAGCAGAAAAATAGTATGTCTGTGTATTTGGATTTATATAAAGAGAAAAAAGAGTTTTAAGAGTATTCTACGTCAATAAATTAACTGAAACTTTTGATCTTAGCTTAGATTATACTGAGACAGATATATTGGTCAAGTAAGTGAAATTCGCTATCTTTCATAATGAAAAAGAACTTGGGAATGTATTAATTTGTGTCGGCAAAAAAGGATTACTCTAGATAATTTAATTAGCAAACTATTAATGGAATAATTAAGTACTAGTTCAAAATGAGATAAACATCTAATCTAAAGTAATTACAAATCTAATACCCCCAGTAAGCATACTCATTAAAAGACTGTATAAAAAGGTAAATATCAATCACATTGAGAAAATATCATTTAATCTGAATATCAATCAAGAGATTAGAAGGAAATATATGCTCTCTTAGGAGGATGGACTTGCCATTATTCAATTGTGCTACAATAGAAACAGTAAAGATTATTCATTGAAGGATTAAGATTATCTGAGATCAGAAAATATTAAGGATGTTTATGAAAATGGAATAATAGTCCAAAAGTTGATTGTATTCAAAGCAATGGAAATAGATAAAAACATTTTTATGCTTTTGATTCGAAAGAATAGTATAGACCTTATCTACCTTTATGCTCTCGATAAGGATTAAATAATTATGAAATTTAAAGACAAAAATGAGCTAAGCATTCTTGGTCTTGAAAAATTGGCTGGTTTTGACTTTGTAAAATTCCCATATATAATAATGCTTTAATCGAACTTGGTTAAAGTCTTTAGTCTTAGAAAAAATAATAAGGACAATTACTATGAGATAAAAATAATACTTTAAGAGAAGATAATTTAAGATAGGTTACATTAAGTGAAGGATTAAACTTTGAATGCAAATATTAACTAAAATTTAAATTATAATAACAATCGACTGATCTCCTTTGTCAGAAAGGATCGCTAGCATAAGCCTGAGATATGGTTTATAAGATACGATAATATTAAAGAAAAAGAACTTTAAAGTAATGAATACCCAAAATAAATAATGAAAATTATCATTGATAAAATCTATATTTGAGACTTTGCTGTTGTTTATCAATTGATAATTGTTGAGTGTATAAATATCGCCATTCTATTTGTGAATTATATGTAGATATGTGATTTTATTTAGTGAAAATTTATTTAGAAAATTAAATAATTTTGCCATAAATTAGTGTTAAGGGGTTTTGGGGTTTTGGGGTTTTGGGG